AGTCAATCATCCAGCACGGTTTAGCAACATTTAACCTTTGGCTAAGCTGTCTTCAAGCCATTCCCACCTAAGTACATACTTGAGGCAGCTCAGCAAAGAATTTGCTGGGGACTGTTCAGCAGCTCCCCTCCTCCTGAATTTTGCCTGGAAAAGGCTATTGGCATCTGGTACCAAGTGGCAGCAGGAGACAAACAAAGCAAAATAGCTCCTGGTACCTCAGCTCTGTGTCCTGAAGGCTGCTTCTTGCCCTGCAGGACAACTGGCCCCATTAGAGAGTGCACCTCTGTCTTGGGTCACTGTGGTCCCTGGTGCTGGTGTCAGGGGGGGGCAGTGATTTCTGCGGCCCTGAACCAGCCCTGCTGAAGTAACTACTGATTATAAACACAGGACTTGTCTGGTAAACACTGGAGAGGATGCGGAAATCATTCCTCCTCCCCCCAGTTCAGGTACATATGTCAAACTAAAATACTAGAAGGGAAAAGGAATTGATCTGCAAGTCCAACTCTGCCAAACACAAGGGGTTATCTAGCTGCTGTTTCCAGGGAACACGGATATCTGCCATACCAGAAAGTCTTTCTTCTCCTTTCCAGCTCCAACTTTTCTTACCCAAGCGAGCGCTGGACATGTTTCCGAAGTACAAGACTCTCTGAGGTCTAACCACCATGGATCCAAGCCGCTGGCGAAGATAGAGTTGGTAAGAGTTAAAAAATCCTCTTGAGAAACAGATGCTTTGGCTCATCTTCATTATACCTAGCCTGATTTATTTTAATTGCTTTGGGTATCCAGAATACTACGATTGCATAATCTCATGCACACGCCTTTAAAAGGAAGCCTTGGCTGCCACACTGGGAAGGCAGTGTTAAATACGGAAAAAGTACTATGCAAAGTCTCATTTATTTTGGAAATCACTGGAGACAGTTCTACTGAAAATTCACAGCAAAACATATGCCACATTTGAATAATGATCCTGAGAGGTGCTTTACCTAGCTTTGCAATGAAAAGAGTTCCGAAAATTACAGTTCTTCAAAAAGATCTTATTCCCAACCCCAGAATTTCGGTGAAATCAGAGGGCAGTTAGGTCCATGGTGGCAGCCCCAGGGTCATCTGCTGAAGGCAAGGTGAGACCTGGCTGCCTGACACTGTGCACCTGAGGGGATCACTTCCACCCTGTACAAAAAAAAAAACAGTCAGAAAACATTAGCTTAAGTGAAAACCTGTTTTGAGCAGAGTCAATGGGAACTGCAGGCTCAGGACAGCAAGAAAGGAGGCGGCCTGCTGAGATCTGCCCTTCCTGGGTTTAGAAATACAGGGCTTCATCTCAATAAAACAAAGCAGGAATAACAGGATTGCAGAGAAATACCTGAATATCATCCACTTGTCTTATCTGATGCAGTGCACAAGATGCCAAATATTGTCCGCTTGGGAAAAAAGGGTTGCACAAACCTCATTCCAGTCAAGAAAAAATATTATTTAAGGTACTTAAATAATAAGGTACCTACTAAAATACTTATTCTGGACCTAGAATAAGGATTTATTTTGAAGTCATGCCAATATTATCTGTTATTATTATCTGTTATTACGATGATTTCTGGAGAGAGATCCGTATCTTACCAAAAGCTTTTCTTTGCCTGTACTTATTTTTAATTTATCTCATTGAACAAACCAATACCTTCCATGAACATTGCTCCTGCAGCCAGTGGGGTACTCTGTGAAAGAAGCTGACAAAGAACTCAAAACAGCCCCAAACCTTGCCCTTACCTTTGCCTTATTGATATGCTTTCCTGTCTTCTAAAGAAAAGAAAAGCCATGAAATTTTATACATTACCTACACTGTATTAAATATTTTAAAACATGCAACTGTTTTAAACACGTTTCAAACGTTCAGATTTGTTTTGCAGGAAACAAATTTGATTTATCCTCATCAGCATTAGTGTTCACACAGAGAAATGTGTGTGTATACCCTGTGCCTGTGGATGCACAACAGGTACCGTGGGGGATGACTGACCAAACACGGGCTCTGCACAGTGCTGGGGTAAGGAAGCCCAGTAAACTTTACAGGTGAAGGAGGAGACCCGTAATCATATCTTCTGATCTTGAAGAGGAACCGTGAGCACTGTTCACTTGACTTCACATGGTACTGTTTACCTGGCACCAGACTGGATTTGCATAGATTTGGTGATACCTATTTGCCGTGCCAGACCAGGAAGTGCAGTCAGTGCTACCATACCCAGCTGGCAGGTGCTTTGAAAGTGGGTTATATGACGGGCTGTGAACAGGCAGCAATGCCACAATTTACTGGCTATACCTTTAAACACCCACAATGTACTTTGCTTTTGCAGATGATAATGAAATTCATATTTGGTAGAAGTCCACAGAGACTATCAGGAGTATTAATGTTATCACAGCAGTTTATTAGTGCCTGCACGGTGAGAAGTGGGTAAGGAAACCCTCTGGGTTTTGTTGTGCTATCAGCAATTATCATGCAAGATTTCTGTTCCTGGTCCTCCCTCTGATAGGGTTTGGAAAAAAACGACTCCAAGGTTGATCTTTGGGAAGCGTTTGGGCTTTTAAGCAGTGCAACGTTTCCTCCATTGCCTTCTGCAAACCTCCATATCTCAAACAAGGGCTGAGGGCTTTCCCTGTCCATACCTCTGGGAAGCATCACCATCTCTAGCTCAACAAACCTGTGTGCCTCAGGCTTGTAACATTTGTACGTGCACCCGCCATCACGCAGAATTAAAATAGCCTTCAGTGTGGGTCTGCACGTCAGTTTTGTTTCCATCTTTCAAGCCAAGCAACAGCCCTTTGCCTTGCTCCCCTCTTTCTCCTTGAGTTCCCATCTCTGCTGGTAGACAGTATCACCAGTATTGGATTTACGGTGGAAGCGATGTGGCGCTGTTTTGTATTCAGACACCAGGAAGCCATCAGTGGTTGGCTTCATGAGGAACAAGCCCTCATGGGTTCTGGAAACCTATCCCTGACACACCAGAAACCCCTCCTGTCCCTTCTCTTTCTTTTTTAACGGGGTAAGGGCTATAAAACCTTGTGCCTGTTATCTAGGCTGGGATCAGTCTTTCTGAAAGGTTTGCATTCTTTAAAGCTGTTTGTATATTAAGGAAGGAAAAACCAAAAAGGCAAGGAAGAATCCTGCAGTTGGTCTGACCGATTGGAGAGGAGCCTCTCAGCACAATTCAGGGATGCTGTCCAAGGAGGCAGCGGCACCGCGGAAAGCAATGGGCTGGTGGTGGCAGGAGTTCTCGGGAAGAGGGATTTGCTCGGGAGGAGATACATTTCTCCTGAAAGCTTCGTTGAGGCTCCTTTGTCCAGGAGGGCCACCTGAAGATGAACTAGACCCTGGCACCAGCCTGCCCTTGCTGGGCTCCAGAGGAGTCAGAATTCCAGCCGTATTTACATTTTGAAACCAAACACAGAATGGCGCTTGCTCCAGAAGCCACCTGCACTGGGATGATGCCCTGCAGCCACCAGCTGCAGGCTGGGCTGGCGCCTTTGTGGAGGCACAGCCAAAAAGTGCTGGCTTGTTCTTCCCAGGCAGCACAAGCCGTGCACTGCCAACCCCTTGCCAAGTTTGCCTAGACCCTGCCGAAGCATCCTCAGCCAAACAGCCCCTTTACTGATGGACGTGGTACCCCGTTACACAGATACACCGACAAACCTTCCAAAATATAGACAAGGCCTTAAATCAGCCTTGGTCAAACTCCCACCGCTCGGTCTGCTTTGAGAAGTGGAGCGTTTGCTGGTGGAGTAGCTCCTGGCTGTTACATTTAATTAAGGATTCTGCTGAATGTTCTGCTTAAAATCACAAACCTTGCTGCTTGGAAAAGCAGAGGTGATTCCCCCAGAGGCCTGGCCAGCATTCCTGCTCCTATTGTACAACATTATTGATTAATCAAAACTAATGCTCACAGCTGTTGCCTGATGGATAATGTCTTTGGTGTTTGCCTGCATATAATTATTTACTACTTTATTGATGTTATTTATTTCTTCATTAAGTATTGTTGGCTGTTTAATTATGTGAAACACAACTGCAAGTGTCGCTGCTCAAAGCCATGGGAAGGGCTGCCCAGAGCTGAAATCTTTCAACCATAAACTCTAAAAATAAATCTAAAGATAAAAATATTTTAGCCAGCGTTGAGTGAAGACCATCAAACCACAACCACATTACATGGCATCTGGAGGCTGATGCTGGAGCGCCACGTTCACATAGATATTTGCAATGCTGGTTTGCACACGGCAAAGCACTTTTTGCAGACTTGTGTGTTTTATTAGATCTCCAAAACACGTAAGAAAGGTCCCTATCTTATTCTTGGTAGCTGAATGTTTGAAATAAATCAAAAGGGGACTCTGATCTCTCAAAGCTTACCAACAGGAGTGCCCAACCAAGCTCCTTTCAAACACCAGCTCCTGGGATCTGAGAACCTCCCAAGTCAGATGCCAGCACTACCCAGTCCCCAGTGCAAACTGGGGAGTCTCTCCAAAGCTCCCTCCAGGCTCTCGCCTCTTTCCCCCATCTCTCTGTGAGTGATACAGACCCAAGGGTCCTTGTGCCCTCCCTGCCCCAGCACCCCACTGCCCTTGCCCTCCTCAGAGGGCACAGCTGCTGCAGCAAGTCTGTGCCCAACCTGGCTGAGTTAGGGAGCTGACATCTAATCCTTGGATCCACGTGGGACAAGAAGGAGCGTGCTGAGGCTTACTGAGCTTGTAATGTACGACCAATCTTAACAGAACCACTTTTCCTTGCCAAGGCCAAGCCATGGGAGTTTGGGAGCAAAATCAGCATCTTAAATTCCATGTGGAAACCAAGAGGCAGTAAGGAGAAACTAGATTTAAGACATGATGTGGCTCTTGGCAATTTTTAGGTACTTACTATTTAAAAAAAAAACCAGCCAGGTACATGACTACAAATACGGTATTAGAGAACCTGGGAGGATCTCCTCAATCTGACTCCCCCCAACCCCCCACCCCCCAAACCAGAGGAGACACAAACCCTGCTGTAGCTCACAAATCATTAATGCACCGATAACAGATCAGAAATAGCCACTGTAGCTCCTCACTCATAAAATAAAGATTCCTTCTCTGACATGCTTTCCAAACAGCCCTAATCAGGCCCTTTCCTCAGGGCAGGAGAACAATGGCTCTGGCAGCCCTTGCTTGGCCATCAGTTCATTTGTTATTCAGTAGCTGCTAGGCTGGATGTTCCTATGCAGCTCGCCATAGATGTCTTGCTTACTCCTGAGGTAGCACATAAAAATTGGCGTGGTCTCAACTGCTACTTTATGAAAAGTACATAAGATGATCAGATGCCAAACCTCTGTGGCTTCTGTCCTAGCGCTGCAGCCTCTGCTTCAGGAGGCCAAAGGAGGATCAGACCTGGCACCATTAGGTCACCTGCATCTGTTTCAACACACCTGAAGCCCAGAGCATGAGCAGGTGTCTGTGGGATCCGAGCTCTGCCCATGCTCTCTATACACAGTGTACGCTCCCCTCTCTTGTAACAACAACATGTTGGAGAAAACCAACAGAAGAAATGGAAAACAGGAAGGAAGGATAAAGAAAGGAAAAGAAAGATGGTGGGTCTAGGGAGTACAGTCTCCATTTCCTTCTTTGTTTCCTCCCAACCTCCACATTTTCATGCATTTTCTCTGTCTAGAGCCAGTTCTTCCTCTGCCTGTTTTCTGAAATGTCACCATCTTTCTTGTACCCCCTGTACCCACACTGTGAGGGTACCATAGGCACCTTTCCAGCAGGGATGCGCAGAGCAATGTGGAACATAGCTAGGATTTTCAAAGGGAGCTAAGGAAATCTTTATGGAGAACTTGGTGAGAATTTGGCACTTGGCACTCTTCTGCTCTTTTGAAAGTCCCACCCTACAGGAACAATCTAAACAAATGTATGCCCCAATGCTGATAAATCCGTTTGGAAAGATATCAAAGAAAAGCTTGCTGGGTTTGGAGACCTTTGAAGAAAGAGAAATATCCTGCCAACCTGACGCTGAGATCTATCTTATTCCACCATGTGGTCCGAATCATCAGTCCTCCACGGCTCCCCTTCCTCCTCAGGGCGTGGAGGGCAGCACTGCCTCACCGAAGAAAGGAATTTAGGGGCCAAGAGGACAGCATAATTTGAGGAAGATTCAAATGAAAAATTACTTAACAATGGAGTTTGTTACTGTGTCTAAATATACCTCAGTGAGTCAGATTACTGAAAACGGCAAAGCTACGGAGCAAAACCATAGCCTCTTCTCAGCAGTCAGCTGGCTTCATTCACTAGCCTGGCATCTCTTTCCCCTTATGTTTTTAATATCATAAGAGTGGTTGGGGTTTTTTTAAGTCTACAATAAGTTAATGTTTAATGGATCGCCCTGTGCAGTTCTTGGTGTTTACGTGTTCTCCAACTAACCAAATTTGTAGAGCAAATTAAAAGTCTGTAAGACTGGTACAAGTGAATTACAGATATTTGTTGCTCAGAAACTATCGCCTCATCCAGTCCCACATGCTCCCATATAAATGGTTTCAATTATGTTTTCACCTTCCCCAGCAATATTAACATCTCTCGCTGTTGCTGGCCAGGGCTATCGCTCCTTAGTCTGCTGCTGTTATGGTTCCTTGCACATATGCTTCCTGTGAATGTACAACCTTGCACAGCACCGCAGTCCCCACGTTTGCAGGGTAACCTATTAAACCGGGCTGGCTCAGGACCAGGCGTGATAGTGGAGCATGGGAGAAGGAAAGGTGGAGACTACAGAGCTGTCGATGCTTTTTTTACACTAATGAGATGGGGGTGTGGCCTCTTTCTTCCACTGAACAAAATATAAATAGCCAGCAAGAGTTTTCCACTCCGGAGCGGGACAGCCGCTGCCAAGGGAACCTTGCCGGCACCCTGCCATGAGGGGACTCGCTTGGTGCCTCCAGCTTCACACATGGGTGACTTTGCCCAGTCAGTCTTTAGGCTGACTTTAGACTGACTGACTTCAGGACCTTTAGGTCCTGAGACACCTCCCTCCTTCAGACCCGGGTCCAGGCGTGACCCTGGGCTCTGCCCCTGTGCCCACCCAGGGACCGTCCTGCACGCACCTGTGAAGGAAGCCACTAAATTCCTCACAATCCCATGACACCAATGGGAGAGCATGGCAGCCCAAGGCGCTGCCTGCGCCATGCTCCCGCTGTAAGTGTGAACATTACCCACTCTGACTGGTAATATGATGATGGTTTGGGTTGGTTTTCCACATTGCTGAGGTCTCTCTGGCGATGCAATGCAAGGCAGTCAATGTCCTGATGAGGGGATGGAGCCCACAGTGGTGCTGAATTCAACTATACCTCCATGGGAAGGGGTGAGGGAATACCCCCAGTCCCACCCTGTGCAGGGCAGCCAGAAAGCCAGTGGCCATAGTTACTTGGCACAGCAGGACCTGGGGAAACAAAATCAATTGTTTAGGATTGAAATCAACAGGAAAAAGAAATGTGGCTCACATTGTCAATGGTAAAATTCCCACTGCTGCTGTGGGACCAGGATCAGGCCCAGGCTGCACCCCTGCACTTTCCCGAACTAATAAGGGTTTAAAAATGTGGATTTCAAATGGTGGTTTGTTTCTGGCTGACCTGTTTGGCTTGAACTGCTCTGTGTCTTTGACTGTTGGGCTTATTTTTAATCTACTGTATTAGCACACAGATTTAACCACGAATAAAACATTACCAACTTGGACTGTGGTTCCTACCCCTTGATCAGCTGAACCAGTCTGAAGTCCCCCAAACCTACTGCGATCCCCCCACAACATCCGGCTCTCAGACCAAAGCACTCCCTCACAAGCAGTGCTCTTGTGCAGAACTAACAATGACCAATCCCCTGACTTGGGGCAGCTAGGGATGAATGGTGGATGGTGTGGGGTGTTTGGGTCAAAGAAACTTCTCACGTACATATTTGGGTCAGGTTTTGTCATTCGATGTCAATGGTGGGCTGTGACATTCCGACATTCCTCTGTGCTATTTCCCCCCCTCCCTCCCTTCTATTTGAAGAACTAGATTTTATCTTCCCGTCCCACTCCCTTGCCTTCACCCTGTGCCTATTTTACTAAAGCCTGCCTTTCAGGTCAGTGTGCTGGTAAGAGATTAATTTTGCACTGCGAGAAACACCGAGCAGAGTATTTCAGCTTTGACATACGAGACGTCTGTTATAATATTGCAGTTTTTCTAAATTAAATATTAGGAAAAATTAAACCCAATTGTGGTTCGTATCCCTATGGAAAATATTTCTGTTCAAAACAGTCCCTCCACGCTAAATGACTTAAGTAACTGAAAACACAATAAATATGCAGCAAATTAAAAACCCAGATTATTCAGGTTTTAAGGCTTATAACTAAAAGTGGTTTAATGTTTCATGCCTAATAATAGATTACTCCTATCACATTTCTAACCTTTATTTCTACCAGCTTTGAAGTCCAGCCATATAAAGGCTGTTTGTAGAACCACACGAAAGTTAAAGCAAATATTACTCAGAGTGATTCATATGAACAAGAATTTGCAATGAAGGCAGAGGGTTTTTTGTGTCTGTATCAAAGGAAATGAAATGTTTGCAATATTTTCCAGTTGATAAATGCATTAAAACATTTTAGTTGTGTAGTATGAACATTGCTGACATAAACAGACTTTGACCTGAAACAGATTGTATTAAGCTCTCTGGGGGAGGCAGCATTAAAAGAAATAAAAATAAAATAAATAGAAAAAAAGAAATTCCTAGATTTCAAAATCTGCCACAAGGTCACTGCAGCCCTTAATTAGCTGAATACATTAAGGGAAGGCTAGAACACAGGCTCTGAAAAGAGAGCAAATGTGTGTTTAATCCTCTGTTCTTTGCTTACAGATTACTCTTTCAGAACGAGTAACCTTATTTTCTCTTTAAATATCTATTTACCTTTTTGAGCTTTGCATAGCAAAGCAGGGTTTTCTTCTCCCCTTCTCCCCCCCCCCCCCCCCCCCCCCACTGTTGCAAAAGAAATTAATTTGTTGCTAGTTGCTATGCATTGGCAGGATTTCTGCATAAAGAATGTAAGTCATCTATCTTTGTATTCAAGATATAGTTAATCTGGCAGTTAAAATACTTTGGAAACATTTTGATGACTTATCTGGAAAAGTAGCTTTGCATTTTCAAAGAAAATTCAGAACTGTATTGCGAAGGGAAGATAAAAGATATATGAAGTGTTTGTTCCAAGCGATACTATTCATTTAAAGATCAGAATGTAACCCCACCCAAGCAATTATTGTGGAAAAACAAGACAAAAATTCTCATACAGCTTTCTGACACAGTCTTTATTTGGGAAACAAAATAACTGTATTACAGTTATAGTCTAATGGATTGCAAGCTGTTTTATTAGAGTCAGCTGAATCCTGTTTAGCATAAAAAAAGAACTCTGTTTGCTATCAAGAACACATTTACATTAATATGACTTTGACAAAGTAAAATAAAATCACATTAAGATGATGTAAGTAGATAAGACAATGAAATCTCTGTGAGATAGTTTTGGCTCACCGATTAGAGTCAAGTCCCTACAGGAAAGAAACATATTTTTACACTAAGTATCCACGTGTTTTTAAGTTGTAGAGTAGCCAAAATTAATTCCGTGCTTAAAATATTTCCAGCAAGAGAAAAGAGAAAGTTTATCATTATTATTGTTTTTATTTTTCCCTTGAAAGGTAAAATTTCTGATAAACCACATTTTTATTTGCAATAATACAAACAAGTTTTGTTCTCTGCACTAGCCTGTAATCATCCTGATTATTGCAGGGGACTTTCCAATATAGAGCAGCTGAAAACAAGGTTTTAGATTACATGGTAATTTAGGAATGCATGAAAAGCCAAGCAGTCACCATAATAGAGCACTGCATAAAAACTTCATGGCTTTTACAGCAAAACATAACATATGTTTTGTGATTCATTCAAATGGTTGTTTTTTTTTGTTGTTTTTGTTTTCCTGAAAAATATGTGGAGCTCTAGTATTCATCCTGTATTTAGGGAAACTTACTCGCAAAAAATGATGACGACACCACCACCCCAACTTTGATGTCTCTCTTTTTAGTCTGGTCATTAAAAGAACGGCAGTGATGGATGGTGATAATGCTGTGGATTTTATGAGTAATCAGGCCTTGGCAGCCACTCTATTTCTTTTGCAGTGAAACTTTAATATTCCTTTGGCCGTGTGTAAACTGTTTCTGCTTTTGGAACTACGCTGCACAAGTTACTCACCAAGCATTACAAAACAGTTATTACCCAAAAGTTAGCGCTTAAATTTAACACCTGACAGGCTGAAGTCCACCCCCCCAGCACACAGCTCTCGTGTAACAGCCCTTCTGTGTCCGGGCGCTGCTGCCTCGGGCAGGAGGAGAGCGGAGGAAGGCAGCGGGCTGCTGGCAGGCCCTGGCAGCAGGGATGAGATGGATTCTCCAGCTGCATGCCCAAGCCCTGTGCACAGGACAGAGCACCCCGGGCACCCCTGCTCTCCTCGCCCCCTTTCACATGCTTTTCAGTGAACTTGCTGCAGCAAACACCAGGTGTCTCCACTTAGCTGGGCTACAGCTCCAGAAAGGGGGCTGCGACCAAAGAAAAACCCAACAAAACGGGGTAAATATATTCGGGTTTTTATTTCCATTGCCTCTAATCTGTCTGCTGCAAGACTGCGTGCGCGGGGAAGAGAACGCATGTAAGCGTGGATATCTCGCACCGCGGTCGTATTTTATTTTGTCACTTGATATGCCTCTGTCAGGCGAGGCAGGACTTTCCAGAGTTTGAAATAATCCAAATTCAATCACTTTAAAGCTGCTACAATATGCAAGTCCTGGCAGCCGTTTTAAATTAATGGGACATCAGATGTGCTCTGATCCTCTCAATTTCCTTGGGCAAAAGAAATTCTGCTGCAGTGGTAGCGGGAGGGGAAATACAGGGCTATCAGTAAAATAAATGTCAGCTTTTGTCTGCTGGTAGAAAAACGCATAAAGCAAAAAAAAGAAAAAAAAAATCCCACATTATTTATTCCTCTGTAATTAAAATGTATTTCTATATGCAGCAAGGATTATCTCAGTGGTTTGGACAAGTAAACACAGCGCAGTCTGATCCACATGAACGGACATTAAACCAAAATACAAAACTGCTTTTCATTCGGTGCTGTACAAATACAGCTAAATATTTTGTTTGGGTCTAGATGTTTATTTTTTGTGCCTGCTGCCCTGTTTATCACTAAAAATGCTAGAATTCCCACCTTGAAAGCCCAGTTCCGTGGCATAGATGGGATTTTGGCAGGAACTGGGGGAAAAAAATCCAAACCAAAAGCTCCATAGCAAGGTGCCAGAGCCCATGAAGATGCACTTGGTTTGGAGTTTACTTAGAAAACGTAAACATTCATTGGGTTTGTCAAAAGGTTTGCAGACTTGAGAACCTTTTGATCAAACCTGGGCTGTGTTTTGAGGAAACCTACACTGGAATATGGTTTTCAAGATGCAATTCAGTAGCTTTGCTTCTGAAACACAAACAAGCCCAAAAATTCAAATGAAGGCTCCGAACCTTGCATAAAAGCACAAGCTCTTATGGTACGTGGTTTTTGGTGATCTGGAGGGTTTACCACCCAGGGCTATGTTTCATAAGTATTTTTCCTGAAACGAAAGTACAATGCAAGCTGTTGGAGTTAAATTGAGGACAAGGCATTTCTTTAATTCTGACTTTTCAGTTATTTGCTTTGTATGAGGAGAGCCTGGCTGCTTCTGTGCTAACTGGGACTCACATTGCCAGACAGTATGTTTTAAGTTATTTTTAAAAATGCTGGGTTTTGAAGGCTCTTAAATCCTTTGATGTAAATGAAAATAAAATCATGGTCTGGAACCTAACAGAGACTTTTAATCTTGATCTTAAAAGCATGAATCATACTACAGCATAGAGTAAAACTATTTTCTGTCCTCTGCACTCACCTTTATACGCACTGATATTTGATATTTATAGGTGGCAGTTAGAGATCTCAGGTAGTCCCAGTGCCTCATGCCAAGCTCTGTACACAGTTACTGCCTTGCCACCTATGCTGAGATTTCTACAGCTTGCCATTTGTCTCATTTAAACATGACATTTCAAGCAAGCCTGATTAAAACAAAGCAAAGCAGAAGCAAAAAGTCTCAAATTCCAGGTGAGTAATGTTAGGGCAACAAACCAGACCAATTATGGCCCTAGAGCAGGAACACCAGGGGCGAGGTTGGGGTGCTGCAATAAAATTGCAGAAAAACTTCTCCCATAGCCACCCTGGAAAACCCAGACATCATTTTCTGCCAGAGCTGGGGCAGAGCCTGAGCCCGAGCCCAGCACAGAGAGAAAGCCCAACTGACTGGCTGCTCCCCTAGGTCCCAGAAGTGCAGCCAGTGCAAGGATGCCAGGTTTCAA